CTTTACACGCATCAACTCATTTAATCTCTCTAACACTCCTATGAGGTAGATACTATTATCCCTATTTTAGAGATGAGGAAAATGAGGCTCTGGAGGTTAAGTAACTAGTCGAAGAACTAACTACATTACAGAACGAAATAACTGTAACACAAAGAAAGAATATGATAAGAGCTATATGAAAGGCAAGAACAAAGTGCTTAGAATTCAGAAGGAGAATTCACTTCCACTTTGGAAGGCACAAAATATTTGGGAAAAGATCATGAAGGAGGTAGCATTTAAATTAGATCCTGGAAAACAAGGAAGATTTCCAAAGGAAAAGATGAGTGGGGAAGGAATTGCTTTTGTCACTTTCTCTGCCAGGAATGCTAAGGTACTAAGGAGGTAGTCTTTTTTTTTTTTTTATTTATTTATTTTTCCCTCAAAGCCCCAGGAGATAGTTGTATGTCACAGTCGCACACTCTTCCAGCTGCTGTATGTGGGACGCGGCCCCAGCGTGGCCAGAGAAGCGGTGCGTCAGTGCGCGCCCGGGATCCGAACCCAGGCCGCCTGCATCGGAGCACACGCACTTAACCGCTAAGCCACGGGGCCGGCCCCTAAGGAGGTAGTCTGAATGGAATGCAAGATATGTGGATAAACATTAAATGGAATAAGATTAGTAGAGTCAATAGGAAGGCCTTGAATACCATACCCAATGGGTTATGATTTTATCCTATAGACAATAAGGAGTCTGTGAAAGTTCCTAAACTAAGAAGAGTGACAAGATCAGATGGGTGTTTTAGCAACGTTGCTGCAGAATTGGTAGCGGTAGGGGAGGCCTCAGAAGAGATTTGGAGGGCTTCTGAAGTAATAACACCTTTACAATTTACAATATTTTTGTGTGTGCATGTGTGAGGAAGATTAGCCCTGAGGTAACATCCGATGCCAATCCTCCTCTTTTTGCTGAGGAAGATTGGCCCTGGGCTAACATCTGTGCCCATCTTCCTCTAGTTTATATGGGACACCGTCACAGCATGGCTTGACAAACGGTGCGTCAGTGCGCACCCAGGATCCAAACCTACGAACGCTGGGCCGCCAAAGTGGAGTGCGCACACTTAACCGCTGTGCCACTGGGCCGGCACCTACGATATTTTTTTGTATCTAGTACTTCACTGACTCTTCACTAACAACATTAATAAATAGTATTATCCATATTTTCACTTTGAGGAGCCTGAGACTCAGCAAGGTTAAAGACCACAGAATTAATACTCTTTGCGGGACTACGCTGTGAGAGAAACCTACACAAAGCAATTTAGGGAAGACCTCAGTAATAGGATCATAGAGTATCCAATAATTGCTATATAGAAAGGGAAGAAAAGAGTAAGGAACTAAAGATGGATATGGTTTCTATCTTATGCTCTAGTGTCTGGGCCAATAATCCCAGCATCAACAAAAAAGCAGGAAAAGAAGTCCAGGCATAGGGAGTGAGTTCAATGCTTGTGGGACATTAAGGTGGTGATTGATGGTTTAGTGCCTTCTCTGCAAGTAACTGTTATGAACTGTGGAGTGGGTGGGCAAGACTGGAGGGAAACTAAGAGAAGAGATGGGCTAAGTTACTTCCTGACCTGGAAGCGTTATCAGTTAGAAAGGTTTTGTTACTTGCAGCTAAAAGCAACCTAGAAGGGGCCTTCGGTATCCTATTTAAGCCCAGAGATAATAAGACAGTTCCAAAGTTGGCTAGTTCAGTGGCTCAAAAACATCATGAAGAGATCAGATTTTTCCCATCTTCTCTATCCTCATCCTTAGAATTGCCTACTCTTATTTATTATTATAAATTCTGCCTCATGATCCCAGCATTGCTAATGGCAATTTCAGAGTCAGAAAAGGGCTCTTTCCTTTCCAGAGGCAGAATATAGACCTTAATAGCCCCTATTTTGGTTAGAACCATACTACTTGAGTAAGTGGTTCCTCTACTAGCTCTTTTCCTTGCAAAAGTTACTAAACCTCTCTGTGCTTCAGTTTCCTCAAGTAGAACATGAGAATCTGAGAATTAAATGAGTTAATATTATAGAACTTAGTGCCTAGCATATAGCGAGTTCTATATAAGTGTTGGCTATCATTATAGCTCTCCCATCTCTCTGTCTTTTTTTGAGGCTCTCACACTTTGGTGATACGTGGGTTAAAATATAAGCTGGCAAAAAATAATAAAACCAGGCAAATCTCTTTGAAATGAGGAAGGCTTTTCCAGAAGTCCCCTAGGCTTTTCTCCACATCTAATTAGCCAGAACTGCGTCACATGCCCATGCCTAAAGCAATCACTGCCTAGGGAGATAGAATTACAATGACTGGTTTAGAGTTTATATTAATCAAGACCCACCCTCTGAGGCTGGGGAGGGGATGCCAGATTCCTGGGAAGCAACACGGCAGAAATGGTGATAAAACAACCAGCATCTGCCAAGACTTAGTCTTGAGAGGCTGTGGTCTCTGATAGGAAGGGTCAGAATAAGTAACTTCCAGAGCTGCATGAAGCCTACAGGGCTCCTAATGGCAGTGAAATCACTACAAAGGTCTGTTAAGGCTAGTGAGAAATAGTATAGGATATAGGCCAGAGCTCAAGGAGAGTATACCTGAGAGGCAGTGAAATACAGCAGGTTCTAGATTCATGGAAATGTGACGCAGGCCCTGTTAGTGTCCCCAGCACTCAAAGGGCTTAGATCACCAGCCTTGGACTAGTCACCTAATCTTCTCAAAGCCTCAGTTTACTCATTTATAAATGAGGATAACCCAAACTATCTCAGATTTGACGTCAGGATTAAATGTATCCTTACACTAGTTTCACTCCCATGGTATAAGAATCAGCCAAAAACAAAAAACTCCAAACACACACCAATAGCTGAATGTTCAAAAAGACAAAGTGGCACAGGTGAGAGGTACCTGAAATGGAGTTGGAGAGAAAAGGAGAGGCTGCCCGACTCTAGACTAAAAATCTCCTTCGGGCCTCTGGTCAGATTTTGCTGCTCCAGTGAAGAACTTTCATTTCAAAGTCTACTAAAAAAGGACTAACTTTACTTCACACCTTATGTCTTGTAAGAGGTTTACGTGCAGCAAAATGGGTAAGAATCTCACTTCTGGCTTTGCTGATTACTAGCTGTGTTATCTTCTCTCAGGTAGTTCCCCAGTCTATAAAAATTGAGTAAACCACTACCAAATTTATTTCACTGAGCTTAATAAACTAAACATTAGCCACTTCCCTTTGAGACACCAGGGTTTCTGAAATTGAAGGCCAACACAAAAATCTATAACATAAAAACCCCTAAAATTTTTCATTGATACATAAAGCTGCAGTTATAAAGACAGGCCTATCAGTCTTAATGGAGGATTCTGGAAACCAGAGTGCTTAAGGGAAAGGAACTAACATTGAAGGTGGAAAAGAATCTGTTCTGATATTTATAGAGCCCTTACTAGACTCCAAACGCTTGTGTTATGTTATTTAGTTCTCAAACACCTTGATAACACTGCCCCCTCCCCTCTTTCTAGAGATGAGGAAAGGAAGGCTCAGAAAGGAAGGAACATAACATTTATTGTGGACTGTGCTAGATGCTTTCCTTACGCATTACTGCATTTGACATTTAAGTGACTCCTCTGGATGAGAGCTAGGAAGTGGCAGGCAGGATTAAAATACCAGATCTGATTCTGAAGTCACTGCATTGCAGCTCAAGGGAATAATTTTTCTTTCCTCAGAATCAGGAATCTTACAAAACTCAATCCTAGAATCTCATTTAGCCGCCCCCCCCACCACGCAGTAGCTGGGGTTAGCAATTCACTTTGGAGTTTTTTCAGTTTCCTTCAGACTAAAGATTTCAAAGTCGGCCCACCAGCAAAAAAAGCAACACAGCAAACCACCTTTACAACTTTGCCTAGGGTTAAAAGCTTTCTTCCCCCCTCTTCCACCCCAACCACCAGGGGGCCAGGCCATAAAGAACAGCAGCTATAAACTAGGGTTCTGGAGTGATCACTCTGGTTTAGCCACTGTGTGACCTTGGGTAAGTTACTTTACCTCTCTAAGGCTCAGTTTTCCCATCTGTAAAATAGGGGTAACAGTAGTATGTATCTCATTAGGCTGTGCACTTTAAGTGAAACGTGACATGTAAAGCAGTCAGAACAATGCCTGCACATAGGAAGAGCTTAGCAACTTTAATAGTTTTTATTGCTGGAGAGGAAATACCACTGACAGTTCTGTCCCTAAGTCCAAAAACTTGGCCATCGTATTCTAAGCACAGGCCTTGCCAGCTGGAGTCCCTTCAGAACGAGCAACAGGTCGCTCCTTTTCTCCTAACCAGGGCCGGGCGCAGAAACCGAAGTCCCCTACCTATATATGGCCACGAAGTCTCGGCCTTTGGTTTTCTACCACTACGAAGGCTGTCCACTCTGAGCCCAACCGAACCACCCCATTTCCGCCTCAGCTCGGGAACTTCTCCCGGCCTTGAACGGCCCAGGCTGCCTTTGGCATGGCTGCCCCTGGTTACGGGCCTGGAGCTGGCTCGCCTGGCGTCTCCTCAACGGAGGACTCAACCCGCGATGTAGGCAAGATTTCCCTGAGTTCAGGGGAGTCACCGAATCCAGTCAAGATGCGCGTCGGTCAAACACACGCCTGGAGAGAGCTCCCTCAGTACCGGCTGGGCCTGCCGCCGGGAGCCCGTCCCCCAGCCCCAGTCTCGGCGCAGGCCGGAGGGTCGGCACCTTTCTAGCCTCCGGGAACGCGTAGGCTCCGGCCTAGAGCCACCACGTGGGGGCTCCAGGCTTGACAAGGTGTCCCCAGAACCAGCCCCCGAAGACTGATCTCCGCATGGGCCCTAGCCCGGCCCCAAACTGGCCTGAGCGGCACTCCCGGCCTGGCTTCTCCCCTCAAACCTACTTGAAAGGGCCTCGGATATCCTCTGCAGACCGGAGACAGGCTCTCGCCAGACCCCTAGCCCCGAGACTGCCTCAGCTCGAGTCCCCAATCGCCTGGTTTCCTTACTCACCCATCGCGGCTCCGCTCGCTCCTACTTGGCGGCGGCGGCGGCGGCGACGGGAGCGGCGAGCTTCAGCTGCAGCTTCAGCAGACAATATGGCGGATCTGCAGGACGGCAGCCCGAAACGGACAAACAACTCAATATTCAGTCCAGAGAAGAAACGCGCTTTCAGCCCTGCAGCCTAGTTCACACCAAGGCGCACACTTAAAGAGACCGCAGCTATTAAAGGCGGGGGAATAGGGGCGGAATATGAAAGGAGTGGGCGGAGAGAGACTGGGAGGGATGCCTACTAAAGAAAGTTCAGCGTGCCTGGGAGTTCCCAGGTTTTTCTGCTACTATTTCCTCTTTTTAGTGAGATTTCCTCCCCTAGAAACTTTTTCTCCCAGAAAGATATTCCTTCCTTTCGTAATTAAAGCCAATCATAGACCCTTGAGCTGGATATGAAAAAGGAATCATCTGGAGAGGGGAAGTGACTTGCTCAAGGATATAGAGGTAGGGAAATGAAGTCAAGAGTAAACCCGATTACAACCCTATTGGGAGATAAGAAGTAGAAAAAGAATGAGACAGGTGCAGTGCTTTATAGTCGACAGAGCTATTTCATTTGTCCTTACAGCAAGCTCTCTGAAGGTAAGGGTGGGTCCTGTGTTGTTCATCACTGTATCTCCAGCACCTAGCACAGTATCTGGCACATGGTATGTGCTCCATAAATAATTGTTGAATGAATAAACAAATGAACAGCCTGTAAGTTACACAAAGCAAGGGATATGATCTCCCTTTTTAGAGATGAGGAAATTGAGGCTCTGAGTGTTCATGTGCCTTTTGAATCATGGAATTTATGGCTGGTACATAGTAGGCCTCCCTTTTTGCATAGTGACATGCCCGTCCTCCTGTCCTCCACCTCAACACACAGAGGAAGCCTATGTCTTCAAGTCACTGGTCCCAGAGGGAGATGCCTTTTGGAAGCAGAAAGAGCAACGTGGGCTTCCAGGTCCTGTCACAACAAATTGCCAACTCTAGTTGTGTGCCTGGCGGGCTCATTTAGGGAAACAACTCAAAAACCCCACTCTAGAACTCATGGTCAGGAAAGGGAGCACTACCTTTCTCTTCCTGTCACTGACTAGTGCCCCAAGGAACTCAAGGGTGGGTTTGGAAGCATTTAACTGTTTTTCCAAGTTGTGTTTTTATGTTAAGGAGACAAAACCAGCAACCACTCTGAAGCAACCAAGCCTCTTTACAAGAGCTATGCCCATGACCTTGCCTTATTTTTAATGCGATCTCTGCAAACCGAGATTAAGCCTCATTACCATAATCTGCAGTGCATAACCCACCTCTCCCTTTTGAATATTCATTCCCCAACCGAAATAAAAGTTCCTGCTTCCCTTTGTTCGGGGACACCATGACTTGGGAAATGATTCCTCATGGCCTAGTATTTGTTGCAAATACACTTTACTTTGTGAGACAACTTCCACTGGTGTAGAGTCTTATTTAACTCACCAGGAGGCGAGCCCACTTGGTTTGGTATCATTCCTACTGCCACTGCTCACGGTCAGACCTCTTCTTTCTCTCCTGGTCTATTTTGCCTGCCTCCTCACTGGTCTCCTGCCTCCAAGCTCTCCCACCCGCACCCACTATCTCCTTAAAATCAGAGACCTTTTCATGTCACTCCTTTGCTCAGCAACTTCCTACTATCTGCCCTTAGGTAATGCACAAACATTTCAATCTGACACACGGGCTGGTCCTTACTGGCTTCTTAGGCTGCTCCCCACCAGGCAACCCAGGCTCCATCCGTATTTGGGGAACCACTTTTCCCCAAATATGTCCCTATCTTCTCTTGTGCCTTTGCACATGCTGTTCCCTCTGCTTGAAATGCAATGCCCTCTCTTTCCTCTTGACCATGGTGTGACCTACTCACTTTCAAGACTCACTCAACTCTCACCTCCTTGAAAAAGCCTGTCTTTCCAGAGTCAGGGTGTCTGTCCTCTCTGCTCCTCAGTGCCCTGGACACATGTTTTCCTCAGCACTTAGCACCCTAATTTGCTCATGACAATGTCTCTCTCTGCTGGTTGTCTATGGAAGGGATAGAATCTTCCTCATCTTTGTATCTGTGCCAGCACCTGGCACAATGCCTTCCTCAACAGAGGCATCAAAAACGCTGGTTGCAGTGTCTGTCTCTAATACACCACCGTGGACTTATCTGCATATCCTGTGGCCAATAGGGCTCGGGTAACACGGGCAGACTAGACAAGTGGCTATGACTGTCTGTCTCCTCTCCTCTTACTCCTGAGCTCTCCATCCTATGCCCCCTAAGAGCCAGGTGGCCCTCCAAGCAGCTTTGTATTTCCACTCTAGCACTTGGCCTTGCTCACTCACCCTCCCTAGCCTAGAGCCATTGGTCCTCCCTGATCCAGTCCCTGCAGACCTTTCTAGCTCCAACCCACCCCCACCTCACTTTCCTTATCCTTCCTGCTCTAGGAACCACATTCTGCTTCCCTTCCCCCAATACATTATGGATGTTCCAAATCTCTGTGCTATTACTCGTACGCTTTTCTCTGCTTAAGTGTAGACTCTGCCAAGTCTCCCTCTTGTCCACCTGGGAAGTGGCTGATACAACTCAGACTACCCCTCCTCCAGGAAGTCCACAGAGCATTAACCATTCCCTCCCCTGTAACTGTTACACCCATCCCAGTGTAGTATGACTTGTTTCTGTGTCTTGGCATCCTCACCATGTACCACAGCACCTAGCAGAGAGCAGGGTCTCTGTGACTGCATGCTGAGAGAATCAGGACATCACATTCTGCTAGGTTAATATGTCACCTTTCAGAAGGTTTTTGGGCCCAGCTCTACCTCCTAGCTGTGTTACCTTGGGCAAGTCATTACAGCTCTCCGAGCTCGTTCTTCATCTTTAAGAGAAGTGACAGCACCTACCTCCTAGGATTATCATGAAAGTTGGATTAAGACAAGGCCTATAATACACATAGAGCAGCATGGTACACAGTAAGCACTCAGCTAGCAGCAGCTGTCACTGCTACCATGACCTCTGGTGCCTACTCATCTCCTTTCCACTGGAGAAGGCAGAGCCCACAGGGGCCCCAGGAGCCACAGTGGGGCTTCCCCACCCAGAATCCCACACATCTGCTTTCTGCCTGACAGGCAAGAAGGGAAAGAAATACAGGACACAGGCTTATTGGGAGTATAAAAATAGGACTTTTGTTTTCCTCATAATCACATCAATTATCAAAGAAAGAAACAGTATGTAACAAAAATACAAAGCTCTGGTGGATTTTTTTGTCTTTTTTTGTTTTTGCCCCTCACCCATCCCTCCCCAACAGCCCCTTCCCAGGGAGCCCCTGGCTGAAGCCTGGATGCTGTCCCTGGGGTTGCCCTGGGGCTCAGGAGAACCGGTGGTCCAGGTCCCTCTGGGGGCTGGCCGAGTACGAGTAGGCCTTGCCCAATACCAGGCGGTCCCGCAGCAGCTTGAAGAAGGCATAGTAGTTGCTGAAGAGGATGAGCGCCAGTGAGATGGTCTGGTGCCACTTTTCAGAGGACATTAAGGAGTACAGCTGGTAGACAATGACGGCACCCTCCAGCAGCAGAAGGATGTTGAGGATCCGCAAGGGTTTGCTGAAAAAGAACTGCCCAGGAAAGAGTAGGCATGGACTGGAAAGTATATTCCAGAAACCTGCCTCTTGGATGGGAGTTCTGGGTGGGCCAGTGAAGAGGACAAGCTCTTGGGACCCCATGCAGACTTGGGTGGGGAAGAAGACTTCATAGTGATGGGCACAGACTTTGCCACCTCTCTGCCTTTGCTTGTGCTGTTCCTTCTGTCAAGACTACTGCTTCCCATATAAATTGTTTAAGTCCTCTTCAACTTCTACCTCCTCCAGGAAGATTTTCTTGAGATGTCTTACTCGCTCTCTCATACTTTTTCTGGTCTAAAATCAACACCTTTTTATATGTGATCCTCCTGGGTACTGTCAGGCCTGAACAAATTAGAATCTTATGACATAGGCATGGAAAGTTATTATAGACTCTACAGCGTGAGTCACCCACTACTTCATGTGTAGCATCCCCAGCTAGGCCAGAAGCTTCCAGGGGACATAGTGATACCTCACTCTTACTTGGTGTTTACAGGGCAAGGCAGAGTATAGGGACTCAAGAAAAATTTTCTGATCAGTTCAAAAGAGTAATCAACGTCTAGGGGATCTTGATTCTGCAGAGGTCAAGGTACCTAAACGTCAAAAGCTGCTTACAGAATGGGAGGAGAAGTGGCAGGAAACGGGAGTCCAAGAGACCAGTGTGCCAGGCTCAGCTCTGCACCTGACAGGCTACAGGACCTTGGGCAAGTCCCTTCCCTGTCTGGGCCTCAGGTTTCTCTACTGTGAAGTGAAGAGATCAGCCTAGATCAATGCTTCCTCAACTAGGTTCCTCAGAGCCCGAGGTTCTGAGGAGGTCTTTTAGGGGCTATAGCAGTGGGAAGTGGGAAGTGAAGGGCATTCCAACTCTTTCAAAAAAGCAGTGCCATAAGGTCCTACATATTGGACTTTAATCTATGACTGTGTTGGAAAAAAAGATTTTGATAATAAAATAAATAAATAAAATGGAGATCACTAGCCTAGATGATTTTGCACAGTCTTTTCCACAGAGCTGAGCCCACGAGTCATTACCATCAGTTCCCAAGTTTCCCAGTAAGGCACCCTTGAACAAGTTAAATTCTCTAAGCCGATTTCAGTATCCGCAAATGGAGATAGCCCTGGCATTTTTCATACACAAGGTTCTGTGACAACTGAATGGGAGGGTGCATGGGAAGTACTTACCACAGTGCCTGGCACACTAGAAGGAATGATAGTTACTATTTTCACTACCAAGAACCCCTCCTTTTATTGTATCATCTTCCCCACCCAGTGTTTTCAAACATCTGCTACTAAGTGAGCTGCAGTTATGAAGTGATCATTTATACGGCTGTCCTTGTGCTGCACGTGTGCACTGTCTTCCTTCGGATTTGGGAAATACTGAAAATAGCTTTCTCTTGTATGACATCACCTTCCTGCCCTGCTGATCCTCCTGCTCTCTAGTCAGGCCCTCCCCATCCTTCCCAGGGGAGGAGACTCACGTGGAACCGGAAGTGGGAGACATCAGAGGGGATGGCCACGTTGTAGTGGCCCACTGCTTTGTAGACGTTCTTGCTGTGCTTCACCAGCACGCCCTGTGGCCACATGCATTCTTCAGTCCACCTGGAGGCACAGCCCAACAGCGTCCCTTACGCCCAGCTCACCCACAAAAGGGGATACCAGAAGATTAGGCATGGGGTGACCACCAGGGCTTTACTCCCATTTCTATCACTTAGACATAGTGACTTTTCTTTTTTGGGTCTCAGTTGCCTCTCCTGTAAAATGGGGTAAGAATCATGAGAAATTACTGCACTGGGAGTCAGTAGGTCTAGGGCTGACATTAACGTCTGAGAGACTGTCAAGAAAACCCTTTTCCCTCTCTGGGGTCATTTTCTTCATCTAGTCTCCAATACCTCTCATCTCTAGCCTCCAGTTGGTCCACCACACAGCTGCCTGAGTGGTCTCTGTAAAATACCAAGCTGAGCCTGACTATCCTCTGCTCAAAACCATCTGAAGGCTTTCCAGTGCTCTTAGGATCAAGTCCCCAAGGATCTGGCATGGCCTCTGAGGCCCTGTGTGGCCTTCCATGGCTCCCACCACACACCTCATGCTCAAGCCATTCAGAACTGTTTCTAGTTCCTCCAACATACCTTAATGCTTCACGTCTCTGCATAAGTTGCTCCCTCCAATTGGACTGCCCTTCCTGATGCCTTATCCTTCTGGTAAGCTCTCTGCCATCTTTGAAAATCCAGGATGCTCCAGAAAGCCTTTCTCAAACTCCCCACAGAGTTCAGCATCCATTAACACCTCCTTAAATCTCCTGCTACTGGTCCACTTTCCCCAGTGTTTTATCACTTATTTATACTCCTGTATCCCTCACTAGTTTAGGAGCCCTTGAGGGAAGGGACGGTGTCCAATTCATCTCTGTGTCCTCAGAGCACACCACAAGGCTTGGCACAGAGGAGTCCCAGTGAGCATGTGAATGAGGTGGTAGGACCAGTCAGTTTTCTTCCAGTGTTCTGCAAGATCTCCCAGGAACTCCAAGGGTCCTGGGCCAGAGGACTGAGAATCACTGTCTGCAAGAAGCTCAATCTCATGCTCCTGCCCTATTGATTCATTCATTTAAAAACAGTTATTGTGTTATATGCAACAACACGGGTGAACCTCACAGACAATATGCTGAATGAAAGAAGCTGGACCCAAGAGTATCTACTGTATGATTTCACTTATTTAAGTTGTAGAACAGGCAAAACTAATCTATGGTGAAAGAAAGGGGAAAGGTGGTTGTCAGGGGCCGGGGGTCATTGGGAAGGGCCATGAGGAAATTTTCTGAGGGGCTGGAAATATTCTATATCTTGATGTGAGGGTGGGTTACATGGGTGTATATGCCTTTAACAAAATTCAAAGAATTGTACATCTTAAGATTTGTGCATTTTACTGTATGTAAATTCTACCTTAAAAAAAAGACTATACACAAAAAATTTGCTGTGGCCCTATTATAAGCTGGGCATACTGCCAGGAGTGAGGAGATGGCTGAGTGCTTGACAGGCAAGGACTCTGACCTCCAGGAGCTTTAGTCCTGGAATGACAGGCAAGTAACTAAGCAAACACAGCAGAAATGTTAGATGCAATGATCATGGTATTATGGGGTTGTGGGAGCATAGAGGAGGGGCACTGAACCCATCCCAGGGGGTCAGGGAAGTGTTCCTGGAGGAAGCAAAGTGCTAAGGGATGAATAGGTATTAATCTGGAAAAGAAAGTTTGAAAGGACATTTCAGGCAAAACATGCATCATGTAGAAGAGCCTGGATACAAGAATTTGAAGACCCAAAGAGGTGTGGTCTGGCGAGAGCAGAGTGTGACTGGGGGCACAGTAAGAGATAAGGCAGAAAAGGTTGGCAGCATGCAGTTCATCAGCTGGGAAGCCATGTGAAGGAGCCTGGATCTTATCTGCGGACGATGGTGAGCCATGGACAGGTGTATCCTCATATTCAGCTATGTTCTATCTTTCTACTCCTCCCTCTTCTCAGAGCCTGAGGCTAAGCCGAGCCCCACTTTGGCCCATTGCGCAATATCCATCCCCGTTCCTGGACCACCTGGACAGAGCATGAGAGGGACCCTATTGGTATGGAGGGCCAACACCAGGCGGCTTGGCCTCTGTGGCCTCCCTTTGCATCTCTGGGGGCCTACCTCTACAAATCTGTCCTAGGGGCCTCTTCTCTGCCAGGCCTTGTGCTGGGCCCAAGACTCAGATGTGATTCAGAGGTGGTCCCAGCCTTGAGGAGCTTCCAATCTAATGGCGGAATACACGCAGGAAAATTAGTAAAACCTGGGTGAAAAGTACATGACGAAAGGCTGTAGAAATGCTAGGCACCATGAAGGATGAGCCCGCCTGAGGGAGGACAGCCCAGCAACTCAGGGCTCCTGAGCAGGGTGACTTCTGCCTCTGCTCTGGGTGCAATGCCACCCTGCAGCTGGGCCTCTTTGCCCTACTCAGCCTAACTAGTTGTGTACACGACCATCACCCCCACCAGACTGTGAACTCCTCAGTCATTTCCTCCCTGTGGCTCTTCTTCCCTGGCCAGGTTCACCATCAGCTAACACAGCACCATATCCTGTTACCAGACTGATGTTTCTAAGGCACAGCTTAGAATGGGTCCCTCCACTGTTCAAAACCCTTCAAAGCTCTCCTCTGCATACAGGTCAAAGTCCAAGCTCCTTTGTCCAATACATGGCACCATGCCTGGTATGGATTAGGTAAAGTAAATGTCTGCTGAAAGAGGAGATGACCTAATGACTGAATGGATGAGCGAGCAGGTGATAGGAGTGAAGCAATGAATGAATGAATGCATGAGCAAATCAATCAATGAGTGAACAGATAATAGTCAGTGAATGAGAAAGTCAATGAGTCTATGAATTTACCGCCTGCCCCCCTCCCATCTCCAGTACACTGCAAGTTACCCAAAGATAGGAAACATGTCCATCTGGGGCCCTGCCATACCCCATTCCAGCCAAAAGGCCTAGGATACAAGACATGCTCAATAACTATTTGCTGACTGAAGAAATGAGTTGATGAGCGAGGAGGTGACCAGGAGGGCTGGGGTTGGACAGAGAAGGGTAGGGCGACTTACGGGTGCTGCAGCACGTTGGAGCACAGCGCTGGGTCCACCTTCTGCCAGCAGCCCAGGTGGGCAGCGGCCTTGTGCAGCAGGTCGCAGTAGCTGGCAGGCAGCAGGTGCTGCATGAGGATCACTGAGGTGCTGATGGACACCAGCAGGAAGAGCTCACAGGACCAGCGCTTGTCATAGTAATGTGTGTTCTGGGGGCAGCAGGAGGTTGGTAAGGCCTGGGATGCCATAATGGCCTCACTCCCTCCCCCTTCCCTGATTCTATCTGCCTCAGAGATCAGGAAAGCCCTGGAGAGACCTCAGGGTGGCCTGAAACCAAGGATCAAACACCTAACAAAGAAGGCTTAATCATGGGCTTGGACCCGGTGCTAATTACTCAGTTTTCTACAACGAAAAATTACTCCCACTGCCCACCACTCTGAGCCATGGCACAGGCTCTTAAGTCCAAAAGACATGAGTTCAAATCTTGGCTCTGCTGCTTATTAACTATGTGATCCTGGGCAAGTCATTTCACTTGTGTGTGCTCTAGCTTGCTCATCTGTTCAATGAGGATAACAGTAACCACCTCTGAGAGGCGTCAGGAGGATCATAGTACTCATGAAAGCTCTAGCACATTGTAGGTGCTCAACAGACATTAAGTAGTCTCAACCTCCAATCACTCAGTGCATTCCATCCCCGGAGAAATGTTTCAAGCCTACTGTCAGCTGGGGAGGTACCTTCCCAGAAGGCATTACAAGCTACAGAGAGAGCACAGGCTGTTGGAGTCACTCAGATCTGGGTGAATCCTGGCTTTCCTACTTAATGATAAAACAGGATACTGTGACATGCCTGTGCCAAAACAGTCACATTTAAATCCCAAGTCAGGGGCCGGCCCCGTGGCGTAGCAGTTAAGTGCGCGTGCTCCACTACTGGCGGCCCGGGTTCGGATCCCAGGTGCGCACCAACACACCACTTGTCCGGCCATGCTGAGGCGGCGTCCCATATACAGCAACTAGAGGGATGTGCAATTATGACGTACAACTATCTACTGGGGCTTTGGGGAGAAAAAGGGGAAAAAAAAAAAAGGAGGAAGATTGGCAATAGATGTTAGCTCAGGGCTGGTCTTCCTTAGCAAAAAGAGGAGGATTGGGGGCCGGACCCATGGCTTAGCGGTTAAGTGCGCGCGCTCCGCTGTTGGCAGCCCGGGTTCGGATCCCGGGTGCACACCGATGCACTGCTTATCCAGCCATGCTGAGGCCGCGTCCCACATGCAGCAACTAGAAGGATGTGCAGCTGACATACAACTGTCTACTGGGGCTTTGGGGGAAAAAAATAAAATAAATAAAATTAAAAAAAAAAAAAGAGGAGGATTGGCATGGATGTTAGCTCAGGGCTGATCTTTCTCACGATATAAATAAATAAATAAATACATACAAAGTCACCGCTTTTTGTTATCAAATGTTATGAACAACAATGCCATGTCCCCCTCATTGGCTAGGTGACCTTGTGTAGGCCACTTCCTTTCAGTGAGCCTTGTTCCCTCCACTCTAAAATGGAGGCAGTAGTCACTCTAGCCCTCAAGAGAACAGACAGGAATCTCATCAAAAACAGTAGAATGATTTATGCAAGCAGGAGGGCTCTGTGGGGCAGGCAGCAGGGTAAGGCCCCAGGGACCCTGGGTTGAGCTACGCACCTTCACGAACCAGACAGGCACAAAGGCCACATAATAAGCACTCAGCATGGAGCTGACCAGCACTTCCTTCATGCGCCAGTTGAAGTCCATCTTGAGGAACTCTACCTCGCTGCGGATGAGGCTGGGCGACAGGCAGCAGGCATGGGTGGGCATGGCGTCCGGGCCATACAGCTGCCGCGTGTGCTGTTTCCATGTCTCCCGCAGCGTCAGTAGGTAGTCCCGGCTCCGTGCCAGGCCACTGACTGCCTCCCGGGGACCCATGGAGGCCATGTGGCTGAAAAGGTTTGTCTTGCGGAGGTCACAGTTCAGCTGCAGGAACGGAATGTACATCCCAAACCTGCTGGAGAAGACAGTGGTGAGGGCAGGTCTGCCCATGGGCCAGGATCCCAACCCTCCGCCACTGAGAGAATCTTCTTTCTTTCCTGGGCCTTAGCTCTCCTGGCTGCTCAGAGGGGAGAATTTACCCATCCTTCTATCCATCCATCCTCCCATCCAATGGTCAGTCATTCAACATAGCATTGATGAATGACTATGTTGTGCCGAGCATCGGGGATACAGTCAGAAGCAAGAGACGAGTCCCTGCCCTAGAAGTCCATTGCTGGCTAACAGTAATCATAACAGCCCATGTTCACTGGGCACAACCTATGTTCCAGACACTGTACTAAGTGCTTTACATACATTTTCTTCTTTTGTTGCTCCTAAGAACACGATGTGTTTGGTACTATTATTTTGAGTCCTTTTCAGCCAAGGAAGCTGTGGCTCAGAGAAGTGAAGTGGATTCCCAAAGGTTACACAATTAGTAAGGAAGTAATAGAGCTGGGATTCAAACCCTGAACTGTCTGGTACCAAAGATCAACACAGATACTCAACAAATACCATGAGTAATTAATTGATTAAAAATGTACACGGTACCACAAAAGAGAGGTGTAAGTTGTCATGGGTGCATATGCTAGAGGCAGCTCTCTTTAGTCTGCAGAGGAGAGCAGTTCAGGAACAGTATTTATTGGGTGCCTAGTATGTGCCAGGCACTGAAATGGGCCCTTGAACAGTACGAATTCCCTCCCCAGAGCAGCACTCTTAGGTCAGGGCTGGAGCTAATTAGTCAAGGGGTGTTTTGAGTGTATGGCTGGTATTGTTTGAGGAGAAAACCAGACAGACCCATAGCCCAGAAGAGTAATTACAGAAGTGGGTGAGTGCCGAGCACAGTGCATGGAACATCATAGGGGCGCTCTTTACAGGCATTCCTTGTTTTAGCTTGTGGCCTCTCAATTTCCCAGGTCCTCAAGACACAGGTTCAGAAGGGTCCCTGGGCTGCCCCCAGCAGTTAGGGCCAACAAGAATACTGTGTTTTCTTATCAACAGTAATTTTCTCTTTTCCTTTTTTCTGAGGTTCTAAGAAGGGATATATGAGTGTTCTTGGGCAGGCAATTAGCCTCTTTGGGTTTCTGCTTTCTGGTCTATAAAATGGGGATGCCACTACTCTCCCTGGGGTAAGGTTAAGTAAGATACCTTAGAGAATTGTGGTCAAGAGCATAACCTTTGGGGTCAAATAGGCCAGGATTAAAATCCTAGCTCTGCCACTTACTAGCACTGTGATTTAGGGCAAGTTACTTAACCTCTATGAGCCTCAGTTTCCTTAACTTGCCTTAAGTTACATAGCTTGTATTGCTTCTCTAGGCTCTGTCAGGCATTATGCTAGTGTTTTCATAAACACTCTTTTTTAATTCTTATAACAACCCCTAGCATGGTGCCTGGCCCAGAGCAGAAGATCAATACAACTCTGTTTAGAAAGGAAAGAGGCCAGTGATTCTGTGGGACAGAAAAGAAGACTTAAATGAGATTCCCAAAACACTCTTCAGGATACCTTGTGGGAATGAGGGGGTGGGGCACCTCCATGAACATACAAGGGATTCAGACTCAAACTTAAGGGCAAGTACTTAAGAATCTCCCTGGCTTTGCCTCTAAGAAGGACTGCAGATACAATTAAATTATTTGGTTACAGCAAGTGACTGCTCTGACAGGTCACAAGTTAGAAGCAACTTCACTTGCAAGATGGCAGATTCCCTCTCATCCTCTCCACCCAAGACGTGACAGTATAAAAGCATAAAATAAATCCATATCAGCAAAAAGAATGGGTGTGGGAATTATCAGTACACAAGTGATTTTGACAAACTTAGAAAGCAGATGTAAACATGCTGACAGATGAGGAAGCAAGCCATCGTCTAGAGCAGCACTGTCCAATAAAAATATAATGGGAGTCACATGTAATTTTAAATTTTCTAGCGGCTACATTAAAAAAAGAGATGAAATTAATTTTAATACTCTATTTTACTTAACCCAATATACGTCAAGTATTATCATTTCAACACATAGTCATTATTTATAAATGAGATGTTTTACTTACTTTCTTTTTTTGTACTAAGTATTCAGAATCTGGTGTATATTTAAAATTTACAGCACATCTCAATTCAAACTAGCCTATTTCAAATGTTCAATACCAACAGGCAGCTAGAAGCTACTAAACTGGATGGTGTAGGTCTAGAATATGCCAAGAGAGGGTTGTGCTGGGAGTAGGAGCTAATCTGCCCAAATTGACCCAAGACAGACTATGGTTTGAAGTAGGCACATTTGATAGAGGGTAGAAATGAGAAGCAGGGCTGAACAAATGGGATTAAACAAAGATCTGTATTTATTTATAAGAGTGAGTCCCTTTATTTTCCTACACACTTCCGCAATCCATCGTGAAGGATTCTTCTCTAAAGAAACTGAATAAACTATCTGAGGAGGACTGAAGTCTCTAATGGGGGCATCCTAGAGTAACAGCCCCACCTTTCCAGCCTATGGGGGCCCACAGCCTGACAACAAACACTGCACTCACTCATCCTAAAGCAAAGCCTGCCAGTTAGTGTGCCCTGCCCATGTACTTAGAATTTCCAGTTAAACCTCCCACTCACATATACAATGGCACAGGGAAAGAAAATGTACTCCAAGCTACTCAGTCCTTCATTCTTAAATATAAACAGACAACCAAAGAAACCAACTACATTTAAAAAAACTAGCAGCACAAAAAATAAAAACTGATCCTAGTGGAAAGACAAAATTGAGGGAACATGAGAGATTTTTAAAACAAGAACAGAATGCTATGAGAAAAGAACAAGCAGAAAACAAGAAAGAGCCTTAGAGATGAAAAATATGATTGATGAAAAAAATTCCAATACAAAATCTGGAAGGTAAAGTTGAGGAAATCTCCCTAAAGGCAAAGTAAAGAGAGAGAGAGAGATGAGAGAAAGACAGAGAGAGAAAGAGAGAGACAGAAACAGAAAGAAAGAGAGGAGGGAAGAAGAGAGAGAAAGGGAGAGAGATGAAAAATATGAGGGAAAATATAAGAGAAACAGATGACCAATCTATGAGGTCTACCATCTGATGAACAGAAGTCCCAGAGAGAATAGAAAAAACGGAAGGGAAGATATTATCAAAGAAATAATAGAAGAAAATCTCCCTGACCTGAAGAAATACCCAAATCTCCAGGTTAAAAAAGTCCTAGAATACTAATAAGATGAATGACTAAAGTTCCACACCAGACACATCCTTGTGAAATTTCAGATAATCAAAAGATAAACAGAATATTTCTAAAAGCTTTCAGAAAGGAAAAAACAAGACATCTACAAAGTAGTTGGAATCAAACTGGCATTAAACTTCTCATTAGAAACATTGGATGCTAGAGACAATGAAGCAATATCTTCAAAATTCTAAGAGAATAAGAAATTGAACTTAGAAACCTATTTTTAGTTGAACCATCAATCAAGTATGAGGGCAGAATAAAGACATTTTTAGACATGCAAGGACTCAGAATATATATACCTCCCACATACCCATTGTTAAGGAAATTACCTGATAATGCACTCCAGCAAAATAAGGGAGAAAATCAAGAAAGAGGAAGACATGGGATCCAGGAAACAGTGGATCCGACCCAGGAGGGCAGCGAAGGGAAGTCCCAAGCTGAGAGCTGTACAGCAGGCCTAAAGAGCAACCACTCCAGACTGGAGCAGGAGGATGGAGAGCTCCGAGAGGGATGTCTTTGGGGGGAAAAATGGACTCCAGGCAACAGGTAGCATGATTGAGAGGCTGGATAAACTTGAGGATATGTTGAAGGCCCATCATTCTTTTGTCAACAAGAAAAAAGAAAGGCAATTAGAAACTCCAAGAAAAATAAAAAGCTGTATAAGAGTTACAATCTAAATATGAAGCAAACTAAAATGTGGCATGATTTTAAGCAATTGATGGAATGTAAGAAAAGAGAAACCCATTTGATCTTGCCACTAGGAACATTCCTTTTTTAAGAGGCCCAAGATTATAACTCAGTAACTATAGAGAAGGAATGTCATCTACGCACACTACTTGGCCCTGTAGTGAACGATATTTTCATACTCATAACAATACCAAACCTACCTATTCATTTTTAATTTTTAGAATTAGCCTTAGACAAAGAATGGAAGACTTAAATGTGGTTATATAGGAGAATGTTAATGTCAAGCTTGACAATATAAAAGTAAGAGTACAGCTGCCAAGAAGTGAGTGGAAGAAGAGGGGAGGAAAAGTGGATGGGTAGGGTTCCTAATATTATCATCTTACATAAAAGGGATTAAGATACTGACTATTGATGATGAAATAAAAAATACAGGCATACTCATATTATTGAAAAAGATAACCAACAGAAAACTAAAAATACTAACAGTTATTAAATACTGGAAACAGTATGGATGGAAGGGTGAACTAAGTCTTCATCTCTCACTGCACAGAATCAATGTACGTGTGCCTGTATGCATGCATCTGTGTGTGTGTGCATGTGTGGTATGCTTGTATATGCATAGAACATTTATTTCCAGGATATACAAGAAACCAGAAACGTTAGTGGTTACCTCTTAGAAGGGAAACTGGGTAGCTGGGAGATAGGAGTCAAGGGGAGACTTTTTCATTCTATATTCTTTTGTACATTTTGAATTTTATTTATTTATCTTTTTTTATTTTATTTTGTTCCCTTTTTCTCCCCAAAGCCCCAGTAAATAGTTGTATGTCATAGCTGCACATCCTTGTAGTTGCTTTATGTGGGATGCCGCCTCAGCATGGCCGGACAAGAGGTGCGTCGGTGCATGCCCGGGGTTCCGAACCCGGGCCGCCAGTAGCAGAGTGCACGCACTTAACCGCTAAGCCACGGGGCCGGCCCCCCTACATTTTGAATTTTAACTACGTAAACCTATTATCCAACTATAAAATCAATAAATAAATTTTTAAAAGGAATAAACAAAGGTACAAAAATACTAGAATTATGGAGGTAACTTAAAAAACACTTAAAACGGGAAACAGTGAAAGACTGCTTTTGAGAAGTGGGACTAAAAATCTGGAGGGCAGGGTTGGAAGCTGTTTTTCATCATAACCTTTTTAGCACTACTGGATTTGATTTTTTATGATATACTTGTCTTATATTAATAAAAATTAATAATAAAAAATAAAGCAAAATATGAACACTGGGTAATGTCTGTATCCAAGGAGAATGGACTCACTGGGTAGTAACCGGAGAGTGTCAAATTAAGGTGACTACTGACAGTTCTAACCAGTACAACCCTTGGAGGGCCATTTGTTAATATCTCTCAAAAACGTAAATGGACATACTTTTTGGTGCAGTAATTCCACTTCTGGGAATCTGCTGTACAAAAATATTGGACAAGTGTGCAAAGATGTATGCAAAAGAATGTTCCCTGCCTCATTGTTTCCAATAGGGAAAAGCTAGGAACAACTCAAAAGTCCACCAATAGAGGACAAATAAAACCAATTGCGAAAAATCTATACAATGGAATACTATGACGCCATTAAAAAAAGTGAGGCAGACTCATGTGTATTGCCATGGAAAAATATCTGAGTTATAGGAGTATGTGAAAAATGTAGTAAATTGTACAGCATCATGCATAAATTAATCCCACTTTTGTTTAAAAAAAGTATACGTGTGTGTACTTGCACAGAAAAAATTTGGAAGGATATGCTACAAATAATGGTTTTCTGGGTGGGACTTTCATTTTCTATGTTAAAAGCTTCTATAAAGTTTAGTGTTTTTATATGACACGTGTCACTCTTTTTTTTTTTTTTTTAGATTTTATTTATTTATTTATTTTCCCCCCAAAGCCCCAGTAGATAGGTGTATGTCATAGTTGCACATCCTTCTAGTTGCTGTATGTGGGACGCGGCCTCAGCATGGCCGGAGAAGCGGTGCGTCGGTGCGCGCCCGGGATCCGAACCCCGGGCCGCCAGCAGTGGAGCGCACGCACTTAACCGCTAAGCCACGGGGCCGGCCCACGTGTCACTCTTATAATTAAAAACTAGTTATAACTGAAGCAAGTGTGATGGAGTGCCTCCCATGCCAGTACCCTTTCGGTCATGCAAGGTAGAGAGGGAGGACTGCCCAGCTCTGAAGTTTCCCAGGGAACGGAGCTGGCCCAGCCTGAGGAAGTTCATGAACTAGAAAGTCCAGGGGTTGGGAAATGACTGTTAATGCCCAGGCAGCCAGGGTGGACATCTTGCCAAAGCCCTCCCTAATTCTAGGCCAGAAAGGGGCAGTCCTGGGCTCCTCCCAGATTATCTTTCCATCCTCAACAATCTGGGTTCTGGCAAGACAGAGGGAGTGAGTGAGCAAAACAGACACAAAGAAAGACATACAAACATGCACGTGCAGATACACACATGCTTCATGCACAGAGACTGAGACAGAAACATGCCTACACAGAGGTGCTTGCTTGCACACAGACCTGAAGGAGGCACCAAGAGATTACATAAATACTAAGATACACAAAGAGACAGAACCAGAGAGAGGAAAGGAAGAGAGAAGATACACAAATCCCGTGCATTCCCCCTCAGCATCGTTCCTTTGGGATATACATTCAGATCTGAGTCCCATTCTGACCTCCCACTTGGTGGCACCTTGGGTAAATTATGCCGTCTCAGTTTCTGCTCCTGCAAAAGAAAGCTAATCATTCTGATCTCAGGGGGATGCTATCAGACAATGTGAGAGGATATTGTTGCTGCCCTGCCTGTGAGTCTTCCAGGTATGGGGGCCTGGTGACCTAACCACACTCAGGGCAGAGGTCAGGAGCCCGGTGCTAGGCAGTGATGGGTACAGTGAGGGGTACTCACGGATAGCAGAGGAACAGGAGGTTCAGGAAGGAGTAGGTCCTGAAGAGGTGGATGAGGGAGCGGCACAGACTCCAGCCTGTTGCCGTGAGAACGGTGAAGCGGGTGAGGAACAGCAGGATGGAGCGAAAGAGGGAGACCTTCCCCCTCTGAGAAGCCTGGGTCAGGGCGAGATAGGACGGGATGGGGCCTTTGGATGGAGGCCACGGGGGCTGTGCCCAAATCCCACCCAGCATGGCCTGTGATCCCACCCAGGGAAATGTGGGGCAGCAGGCTGGGTAGAACTCGGCTAGGCGAATCCTTTTCCTCGACGCCCAGTAAACTCCAAGAGCCGACAGGATGTGAGTAATGTTCTTCAACCAAGTCCAAAGGGAGCCCCAAGGAAGTGTCTCAGGGTTGAAGGGCTAGGTATGTCTCCTTGGCACCCAGAGGGGGAGAGGGGAGTCCCCAAGTTCCCAGCCAGCCTCTAGGACCCAATCACCTCCTTCACGATGGACCCAATGAAGCGGCGGCCCAGAACAATGGTGGTCACCATCAGCAAGTTGAAGTCGATCAGGTGGAAATTCTGTCAGGGGGCAGAGGCTAGGGGTCATGTGGGCCCCCTGCCCACACACAGGCTTCTCTCATACCCACCTCCCCCTGCCCAGTCCTTTCCATAGGGGCTGTCCCCACTCTCTGACCTTCATAGACCTCTAGCTGAGTCAGGCCAGGAAATTACCTAGAGTAGAACAGGACCGAGAGGAGGGAAGTGGGACAGTCCCTGGAGATAAGAGAGTGGTATGTGAGCCGTCTTGCTCTGATCACCCATGTCCCTCTCCCTGAACCTCTCTTTCCACATGGACATCTTTCCACTCCTTGAAACACTCATGTATGCCTGTGGCTCATCTCCCCCACAGGACTTAAGACTGTGCTTCTTTTGGTAAAATCTGTGTCATATTCATCTCTGCTACCCTTACAATGCCTAGTGTGGTACTGAGCACATTAGGGGTGACGGTTCAGGAATCATCAGTTTCCTGTTCCTTCTACACCTCCCATGCCCAGGAGGAGGCCAAGAGTACAAGGCACTTAGTAAGCTATGCTAAACTAAAACCAAATGCCACACACACACACACACACACACACACACACACACACACACACACACAGCTGGTCCTAGCTGGGCACCTACCAGGGAGGTGTGGGAGGGTGGGTGGGAAGGCGGATACCACCACACTGTCTTGTAGATGTTGATGTAGTGGACGAAGAGGGCTATGAGCTGGCAGAAGAAGAGCTGTAACTCAAACAGAATGCTGGCCTGGACTGGCAACTCGGGGATCTTGCAGTGCTGTAGGGGCACGACCGTCTGGGTGGCCAGTGGGGGGCTGGAGAGGCCCGTCCCAGAACTGCTCCTGGGGATGGGGAGGAAACAACATCAGGAGCTGACCTGAGAACGCTACCAAGAAGGGCTTCTAGAGCACAGGATTGTGGGATAGGAACAGAAAAGCAGCTCATGGCAAGGATGGAGTCCTCCTAATTCTGCCTGTCAGACAAAGCAGCTGACAGAGCCTTTTCCTATCCCTCATCTTATTCAGGCTTTCCAACATTCCCCAGGAAGGAAACAATTATTAGGTTCATTTTACAGATGAGGAAAAGGAGGCCCAAAGATGGGAGACTTATCCAAGTTACCAGCAAAACAGGAGCAGAACTGTAACTGGAATCCAAGCCTTTGGGCTTATTACTCTATGTCCCACTGCATCTGTCCAAGTGACCACTCTCTGGGTCTCTTCTGCTGCTCACTGCCCTCTAAGCCTCCATCTGGCATCTGGGGTATCATATCCTAGAGCCCAGTCAGGGAGAGCTTTGTCTATACTGCCCATGAACCCAAAGTAAGGGGCAAGAGACAGAAAGGTGGTTTACCTGGTACGGGAACGGACACTGGTGACCGATGCGCTGGAAGTGTGGCCCCCACCAGAGCCCCCTGAGGATCCTGGCTCACAGAGTGGATTTCGACAGTAGGATGTCCTGTTGGGACCTCTTCGTCCTCCTGTGGGGCTCAACATAAGGTAGATCCTCAAGCCAGAGGGCATACATCAAGGACAACAGCAATGATACTAGCTACCAGTTACCTACTATCTCATTTTATCATTTAATCCTCACAGAGATCTATGATCTGGTCCCTGCCTACCTCTTCAACCTCATCTACCATTCCCTGCCTCACCCCCATGCTTTAGCCATAGTGGCCTTTCTCTCCTTAAGCAAGCCAAGCTTATTGCTACCTCTTGCACTTGTTGTTATCTCTGTCTGGAGAGCCCTTCCCTGACTGCCATTTTTGAAGTATCTGCCTGCATCACTATCTTATTTCTTTTTTTTTTTCTATCTTATTTCTATTTTTTCCCCACAACAATTCACCCTTGGAATTTATCTTACTCGTTTGTTAACATATTTATTGTCTCTCTTTCCCACTAGAATGGAAGGTCAGTGAAATCAATACCCTTATCTGTCTTTTTCACTGTTATATCCCTTCCCCCTACGCCAGTGTGCAGCACAAAGTAAGTGCCCAATAAGTATATGTTGATGAGTGAATGAACTCAGCAATGTAGGTTTTTCACAGATTAGGAAACTGAGTTTACATTGTGTCACAGGCAGTTTTGGGGTCTGGGTCCTGTGCTCTCAACTCTGGTGTGCATTGCCCATTCGAATACTACAAGTCTCTATAGGCTTACAATTCTGGGCACCCTTGGGACAGCTTTTTCCTCCAAGGCCCTGAGGTCCAGCTCAATGGCATACAGGTGTCTCATGGGGAGGGCCCAGGGCCTGAGTAGAGGGTCAAGGATGTGGGCTCTGGGAGAATGGCTGTGGTCGTGGACCTAAAACTTGGGCCTACAACTTATCACCCTAGTCTTAGCAGTCTAGCTCAAGCATCCAGGCATCCCCCTGTACAAAGGTCCTGCACAAAGCTTCTAAGTACCATCCTAATCCTAGTCAAAGTTATAGCTTTGTTCATACCTCCTCATGGCCATACAGCAGCCTAGACACACACAACACCCCTTGTCCTAGCTCCTCAGCTTGGAAGCTTTTCCCAGACGTCTCCAAAAAGTACTGGTCCAGGAGCTCTGTCCTCAACCAGCTCCCAGCCCAGAAGCTCTGTTCATACACTACTATAACCGGCTTAAAAAGCACCCTCCTCCACCCACACACAGACACACGCTCAGTCCAAAAGCTCTGCCCACACCTACTCTCCTCTCTTTAGAAGCTCCGCACCCACATAAAGCCTCTCAGCCTATAAGCCCCGCCTACAGACAACTGTCAGCCCAGAAAACCGGCCCACAAGCCAATAGGCTCTGCCCAAAAGCCCCGCTCCAGAATAGGCTTCCTTAACCTGGAAGGTCTCCTTCCCTGCCCATCGACCCCAGTATAAAGCCCCTACAGCCCAGAAAGTTTGCCTCCGCATAAAAGCCTACAGCCCAGGAGGTCCGCCGTTAGCACGAAGGCCCCGCCCACCGATAAGCCCCGCCCCCACTTCTAGCCCTCACCAAGGCCCAAGCCCCAAGCCCCCACAAGCCCTCTTTATTTTGGAAGCCCCGCCCACCACTCCAATGTCCCGCCCCCACAGCAGAGGCCCCACCCCGCAAAACGACAGGAGGGGGCGGGGTCCCTCTGCGCCCCTCATCCCCTCCCCCTCCCCTCGCCGGATTCTGTCCGCGTGGGGGAGCAATTAGCAGCCTGCCCATCCTAAACCCCGCGCCCCGCTGTTCCCGGGCCGAGGCGAACCCGCTCTACTCACCCATCTCCTCCCCCCGGCGCTCTCCGCTTCGCCGCCGCAGCTCCTGCGGGCAATATGTCGGAGGCGACGGCGGCCGGGAGAGGACTAACCGCCACAGCCCAGTCCCCGGGTATCAGCTGCGCGCTCCCGCCTCGCCGCCAAATTTGCATACAAGGCGGGCTAGAAGCTGGGGGCGCGTTTCTTAAAGGGGCCGCCCGGACAAAGGCGGCTCCGCACGCTCTTTGTCTGGCGGTCCCCTACGCCCTTCCTGCAGCTGCTGCTGAAGAAACCCAAGAGGCAAGGAAACCCACCTCCTGCCCTTCCCGTGCATGCCTTCTCCCAGCATCTCTTCAGGCTGGAGGGAGGGGACCGGAACGGCCTCTCGTCTCGGTTCCGAAATGGCCTATATCCATGAGTGGCCCACAGGCGTCCAAATTCAACGCGTCCCAAATTGGGCTTTCATCTCTCTTCAGTCTTATTGCTCTTTAGTCCATCCCAGTCAAAACCTGAGAGTCAGTTCCTCCTTTCCCTCGGCCCCCACATCCAATCTTTAATCTAGCCTTGCTGACCCTAAATCCTAATAATTTCTCATATCTGACCTTACCTACTCTCCTGCCACCACCTTAATTCAAATCCTGACTCTGTCAGTTCAGAGCCTCGAACTCTTGTTTCTTGCTCTTTAATTTTTTTTTTTTTAAAGATTTTATTTATTTATTTTTTCCCCCCAAAGCCCCAGTAGATAGTTGTATGTCATAGCTGCACATCCTTCTAGTTGCTGTATGTGGGACTCGGCCTCAGGATGGACGGGAGAAGTGGTGCCTCGGTGCACGCCCGGGATCTGAACCCGGGCCACCAGCATCGGAGTGCATGCACTTAACCACCAAGCCACGGGGCCGGCCCTCTTGCTCTTTAAAATGAGGCTGTTAATATTCACCTTATAGGTCTTGGTGAGGATTAAATGAGATAATGCATGTAAAACAGAGTCTGTTTTAATAAATGTTAGCCATCATTATTATGATGAGTGGCAAGCACTTAACACAGAAGCAGCACTCAATAAATGAGTTACTACTACTAATTGTTATGATTTCTTCCCTTACAAGACTTAATCACTTGTCTTAATCACCTGGTAGCCCCATCGCTTAGCACTGTGTTTGGCACATAATATACATCAATATTCAATTAATTAAATGAATTAGTAGATATTTAATTAATAGATATTAGCAGAGCTTACAGTTAAGTGGGAGGAGATAGACATAAACGAAGTTTATGTAGTATGTCAGAAAGGAATGATTGCTGTGGAGGAAAACAGGAAAGGGGTGGGAGGTTGCAATTTTAAACAGGGCAGTCAGAGTAGGCTTCACTGAGAAGGTGACGTTTGGGCAAACATTTGAAGGAAATGAGTGAATCAGTCAATACAGATATCTGGAGAAAGGGGGGCATTTCAGGCAGAGGGAAAAGTCAGTGGAAAGGCCCTCAGGCACGAGCATCTCCGGTGTGTTTAAGAAACAGCAAGGAGGCCAGGGCAGCTTGAATGGAATAGACACGAGAGCAGGACATGAGAAGGGATGGACCATATAGGGCTGTAGGAGATGGGGAGCTATTGGAGAGTCTGAACTTCCACTTTTAAAGAATCCTTCTGGCTGCTCTGTGAAAATAGACTGCAGGGGCACAAGGGTGGAAGCAGGGAGACCAGACAGGAGGCTATGGCAATGATCTTAGCTAGAGATGGTGGTGGTTTGTACCAAACTGGGTGAGGTGATGAGACACGGTTGAATTCTGGATTTGAAGGTAAAGTCAACAGGATTTGTTGGCAGATTGGATAGGTGTGTGGAAGAAAGAGAAGATCAAGGATTACTCCAAAGTTTTTAAACTAGGCAAATGGAAATATGGAGCTTAATTCAACACATATACATCTATTAAATTATAGATTTTACATGAGGTCAGGCCTTCCCTTCTGAGGGGAAAGAGGCCCAGGGAGGGAGAATGACCAGGTCACAAGGCAGGCCACAAAGCAGAGTAGAAACGAGGACTGAGATTTCTTTTTCCAGCCAAAGAAATTCTGGTAGAAGAGCTGGTTCTGGGCTCTTTAGAGTACTCAATTTGAAATATATCTTGTTAATTTCTGAATCCCCAAGGCCTATCACTACCTGGCACATGATAGGCATTCAATAAGTATTAGTTCAGTTGAATTGAGGTAGTGGCAAACTGGCTTTTGAAAGAAAGGCCGGTTGGGAAGGGAAGCTAAGTGGTTTCAGGCATATTCCATAGAAGACTGAGGCCAGGCCATTCCTGGGAACTCATTTTAACTCAGGTCAACAAATATTTTTGAGTATCTATTATATTCTGGGCACTGGGGAAACGGAAGTGCCACTCGTTATTGGAGGAGACAGAGAGGAGAATCAATAAATTATGGCACAGTGTGATAACGACAGCAGTGTGTACCAAGTTCAGAGATGGATGGAAAGTGACTAACTCTGACAGGGGAGGTAGTCAAGAGAAGGCTTCACGAGAGATGACTTCAGAGCTAGTGTCTGAGAGATGCATAAGAGTTTGCCAGTTATACTCCTATGGGATGAAGCAGTAGCTTGAGTCTGGTAATTGCCTTACTGGGGGTGGTGGCAGGAGAATGTCTTGCTGTGTATCTATTATGTGGAACGTGCTGGGCCTTGTACATGGCAAATACTCAGGAAATGTTTGCTGAATTGATTTGAGGGCATTCATACAACCCAGTATAATGCGTGTCCATTCAAATGGACTGTTATGCATGTGACCCATTACCTGTGGCTCCTGCCCATCTTGTACAGGGTGACTATTGATTTTGTCTGCCCAGCATCCATTCCTCCTTCTGGTAAGGACACTCTGATTTTCCCTTGGGGAACTACCCTTCCCCCCACTCTCTCAGTCCATGTGGTTTGGTGGGGCTGCCTTACTCTGGAGTTCCAGTGTGGGCTGACCACCCTGGCCTGGCGAAGCAAAGCATTCCCTCTCTGCCACTCCAGGCTACAGTGACTGGTTGGGGGTGAGGGGGTGTTAGTGACCCAAGTCAGGCCAAATGAGATGCAATCCTAGGATCTTTGCTAGAACGATTAGGAAAGAAAATTTTCCCCCTCTTGGATGGCTAAGCAAATAGGATATAAATGTGGAGCTCTTGGTGGCTTTCTTGCAACCTTTTGGGAAGAACTTAGCTGACAATGAAGCAAACACAGAAAAGTCAAGAAATCAGGAGACACTTGCTCAAGGGCATCATTTGAACCCCTGGACCCCAGCCTTACCTAAAGCCTTTCTGGACTTCTCTGTTACAAAAAGTCAGTTTGTTTGGTCTCTGACAACTGCAAATGAAATAATCCAGAGTATTATACACTTCTATCTCAGTATCTGCCAGAAACATCTAGGGTCTTAGTCCTTTCACATCTGCCTCCTACAGGCTCCCTGAGGAAAATCATCATAAAATGGCAGGACATTGGTTAGGTTCTTGTCCTCCAGATCTGTGGCCACACATCTCAGCCGTTTTGTGACCTTGAAGCCCTCACTTCCCTCCTCTGCATCTTAATTTCCTGATTAACCTACTATCTTGGCTTTTCCAAGAGTCTTGAGTTTTTGAGGAAATGCCACTGGCTCTAGGCCAGTCCTGTGTCACTGGGTGTCAGGACTTGGGATCTCTTCCTTGGTTATGTTATTCTGGGGCCAAGGCTGGCAAGTCTGTCCTCTAAATCAGTAGTTTTCAACCTGGATTATGCAGACCTCTAGTGGTACGCAGTGGGGGTGCTGAAACCACAGGATACAACACAATACTGCTTTCTGGAGTGTCAGTTTTATTCATGGAAAAGTAAGGCAATATTTTCAATATTAAAGTGTAGTTATTCAGAGCACCTTCCCTGAGCCAGATTTAGATGGAATCAAATCCTGGCTCCACCACTTACTAGCTGCATGACCTTAGGAAGTTACTTAACCTCTCCGTGCCTAGGTTTCCTCAGTGTAAGGTGAGGGTAGTATTAGTACCTATCTTATGAGATTATGGTGAAGATTAAGTTAGTCTGTGTAAAGTACTTAGAACAGTGCCTAGTGCACAGTAAGTGCTATTTATTAGCTATTATTATTATTAAGACATGGATATATTATGAAGTACAAAGAAAACTAATGTGAATGTAAGATCAAGGACATTGAAGACATGTCACCTGCAGTTCTGTCCCAGCTTCCAAGGGATTTGCTCTCACTTTCTTCTGCCAGCAAAAATACTCATATCTGATTTTTACTACAAGAGCCTACAAGAGAATCCAGGTGTCTTCATGCTCTTCTTATTTCCTGGGCCATTCTCTCCCCATTCAACCTTCCACATCTCAGATCCCCACCCATCTGTTCTCATCCAGACATTTGTCTTCTCATGTCTTATAATATTTATTACAAAGATAATATATGCAAGCTTTAGAAAATACCGTATTGCCACTTTAGTTTTTCAAAAATGAATAGGAATTTCGTAGGTAATGTACTGGGGAGTGGGGAAGCAATGAAGATAGATGGAACAGCATGAGCAAAGGTCCAGAGGTAAGCTGTATTCCAGAAGAGCAAGTCCATTTTGGCTTTAGAGTAATTGAGGCTGGAAAAGATAAGGCTGGAAAAATAGATTAAGTTCATATCACTTGAGGATTTTGAATGCTACACACAGTGAAGAGTCTGGATTTGATTTCACCTCTCTAAACCTGTATCATCTGTAAAATTAGGATAATTCCTACGTCACTGAATTGTTATAAGGTTTAACGACAGAGAGAAGCAAACATATGAGAGATATCCTATATAAGAAATGGAATGACTGTCATTAGGAGTTGGGGACAAGGATTCTTCTCCTTGGTATAGCCATCCCACCTCTTAGGGTGGCCTGCAATTCATTCTTACTTTTGAGATCTTATTTTCCTGCAACGCATATCAACCATCAGAGGGAGCTCGCTACAAAGGAATCAGAACTCCCAGCTCAACAGGAAAATTGCAGTGGGAATGGCTGAGCAGGGGATGTGGAATTCTGGGCCAAATCCAGAGCTTCTCAACAGTAGCAGTGGGACATGATCCAGTTGCCCCCTGTGTGGTCCTCTTTTCTTTCTTAGACACATCACAAGGAGAGAGGGAGGCATGCTGCCACAACCTGGAGCCTAGCAGCTAGCCAGATGTAAGAGCTCTAGGATTGGGGGTAGAAGATGAAGGCCGGATCTAGTTCTGGGGCCTGAGTTTTTGTATCTCAAGCAAAAAAAGGCTTTTATCAATTCTGCTCACAAGCCTCTAGGCCCAACTCCTTAGAACACCGTGTGCCAGGCCAGATAGTCTAGCTAGACCTGGGAACCTTAGAAAAGGAGCTGGGGTTGCAGTGTGAAGAAGGGGGAAGGAGGAGAGGCAGTGCCATGCCTGACGGATGTCTTATTTATTTTTGTGAGTAAGATTGGCCCTGAGCTAACATCTATTGCCAATCTTCCTCTTTTCACTTGAGGGTGATTAGCCCTGAGCTAACATCCATGCCAATCTTCCTCTATTTTGTATGTGGCATGCCGCCACAGCATGGCTTGATGAGCGATGTGTAGGTCCGTGCCCGGGATCTGAACTTGGGAACCCCGGGCTGCCACCAACGCAGAGCTCACGCACTTAACCACTATGCCACCGGGCCAGCCCCCTGATGATCAGTCTTTAGAGCTGCATCCACTTTACCCTGGACTCCAGCCTCCAGGTCTATCAGAAATAGCTATGGGTGGGCCGGCCCCGTGGCTTAGCGGTTAAGTGCGCGCACTCCACTGCTGGCGGCCCGGGTTCGATCCGGGGTGCGCACCGACGCACCGCTTCTCCGGCCACGCTGAGGCCACGTCCCACATACAGCAACTAGAAGGATGTGCAGCTATGACCTACAACTATCCGCTGGGGCTTTGGGGGAAAAAATAAATAAATAAAATTATAAAAAAAAAAAAAAAAAGAGCTATGGGGCCTAGCTTCTCCAGTCATGACTTACTAATCTAGCATTTCACAGGATTTTTACAAAACCTCCTTTATCTTCTTTGTCTTCTCCACTTGCCTGCACTGAGTTAATCAGGGACTTTTCTGTTACAGATGTTAAAATGAAGACATTTAGCAATTTACCCAAGTAGCACTCAAGGGCAGAGCAGGGCCTGGAAGCAGTAGGAGCGGCCCAGGAAAGGGAAGGAGGCAGACAGAGCAACAGCCTTCAGAACTGCTGCAGCAAGCGCTGGCTCTTGGCCAGGCTTCATACCCGCCCCTCCAGGGCCAGCTCTGCTGGTAGGCCCCAGGCTGCCAGCCCTGCCTCCACACCCCCACCCCATTCCCCTGAGAGTCCATTACCCTGGCAACAGCCAGAGAAAGGCCCAGCTAAAATATTTACGGCTCAAAACAGTCCAGAGGCTTCGGATAGGGGAAGGAACGAAGCCTGATGTCATCCCTTCTCTGCTTGCAGGGAAGGTGACTGACATGCAGGGCAGCTGGGCGGGTGGGCCAAACCTACTAGGTCAGGGCTCTCACAGGAAGATCCCTAGGGCTGCAAGTGGTAATGGGAGGAGGGAGAAGGCTGTATGTGACAGACATGACAGGTGACAGGACTGGATAAAAAAAACAAGCCAGAAAAAAGGAGGAAGGAAACTTAAGTGTTGACCACTATTATGTATGGACTCTGTGCTAGGTATTTCACACACACTGTGAAATCCCTATCCATTCAGTGGATAGGGATTATCATCCTACTTTTACAGAGTAAACAGGCTCAGAAAAATACACAGCAAGTGATGAGCTAGGATTTGAATCCAGATCTCTTTGGCTTTAGCCCTGTGAGCCTTCCTGTAAAATTCCTTGGCTCCCAAGTAGATATCCTGCATCTGGGGGCGGAGGGTCTGGCTGCCTAGGAGCCTAGCCCTGGCTTCTCGGATAGTGACCCAGGCTCTGCGCCTCCATTTATCTATGACCAGGATTCCATCTCATTCCCTAACTCCCCGCCCCAAACTCCTCCCCTGCCTGCTGAACTGAAGCAGGTCCTCAAATGCTAGATAAAGGAACTTGAGCCACAAGATGAGGCCTAGGAGACCAAGAAGCCAGGGAAAATGCAGCCTCAGTGGTCAACCCTGGACTGAGAGTCGCAATGCAAACTTAGGTTGACAAACATCTCAGTTTGCCTGGGATTCTCCTGGTTTTAGCACTGAAAGTCCAACATCCCAGCAACCCTCAGTCCTGGGTAAACCTGGATGGTTTGTCACCCTAAACAGCTCTCTCACACAAACACAATGCTTTTCTGTTTCAAAGTACTGGTAGCTGTAAGAGGTACAAACTGGTCAAAAGCAAGGTCTCTGAAGTCTGACAGAACCTTTTTTTAACCTTAGGCAAGTTACTTATCCTCCTTAAGCCTCCGTTTCCTCATCTGTAAAATGAGTATAATGGATGGGAGAATTAAGTGCAACAGTGCATATAAGTGCTTGAGATAGCGCCTGGTACATTATTAAGCTTTCAATAAATAATTTGCTATTATTTGTAATAATCAATAGTGAAGACAGAAATGGGCTCAGAGATTAAATAACTTGCCCAAAGTAAATCAACTGATTTCAACATCCCTTTCCTGCTAAGAAGGAATCCAAGTTCATTAGAATGCCCCAGGCACAGTTAAAGTGCAGACAGGCTCTTTCCCCAAACTCAGCCCATTCTCTTGCTCCCTTGTTAGGATACTACACTTGATCTTAGCCAAAAGGCCAGAAGGGATGCTCCCTTGTTGGGATAAATAACGAGGAGACATTAAAGGAAGAATGTAGGGGCCGCCCGGAGGCGTAGCAGTTAAAGTTAAGTGTGCGTGTGCTCTGCTGCTGGCGGCCCGGGGTTCGGATCCCGGGCCGCGCACCAACGCACCGCTTGTCAGGCCATGCTGTGGCGGCGTCCCACATAAAGTGGAGGAAGATCCGCATGGATGTTAGCTCAGGGTCAGTCTTCCTCAGCAAAAAGTGGAGGATTGGCATGGATGTTAGCTCAGGGCTGATCTTCCTCACACACAAAAAAAGTAAAAATAAAATAAAGGAAGAATGCAATATTAGAGGTCCCTAACCTCTCAGGAAGCTCAGTGTAAAATCAGCCTAGGGCATAGGCCATAGGAAACCAGAAGTCTATCAAAGGCTGACTTTCCCATTCTTCAAGAGAAATGGGAAAATGGATAAATAGCTAGCCCAATACAGCTAGAAGGAAAGTGGGAGCTAGACAGGGGGCCTTTGGCTCTCTCCCAAAGCTGACAGAAGCTACCAGAGTTGGACCATTCATAACTTGACCAAATCTTTATTGAGCTCCTCAGTGTCAGATATTTGTTGGGGAAGGGATTATAGTACAGAGGTGAAGAAGGAAAAGCCCTACCCTTCAAGAGCTTTTTGGACAAGGTTAGTAATCAACAGTGGAGAGAAAAACAGGCTCAGAGGTTAAATAACTTGCCCAAAGTAAATGAACCTTCTCACTTGGCTCTCCTTGGCCTGTTACAGAGGTGGTGACCTGCCTCTCTCTGGGAGCCCTCTGGAAGTGTCCAACGGCTCCCAGGCTGGCACCCACAACACAGGTGTGGCAAGGCGGGAAACAGGAGGTGGTGGTAGGGGTATTCCAGCTAGTTCTAGTGAAAGCTAAGGGGAAGCAGGCAAACTGGGAAAGACACAGTAGGACTGCCAGTTTATTCAGATCTAGGAGGCCGTGCTGGGGATACTGTCAGTCCCCCTTCAACTCTCTGAAGTCCTGAGCAGGTTTAACTGTTAGCCTCACAGTCCCCTGCAGTCCTGAGGACTCCATTCTGGGCCTAGAGACTCTCTCAGGGGATCCTGGCTGGCTTTCTGTGGGTAAATCAAACAGATCAAGAGGTGGGGTGGGAAAAGACTGTGGATCTCCGCTCCTGGGTTTCTCTGTGCTCAGCAAATGCCCTCAGGCCAGCCTTGACACAGCAGGCAGCTCTCCTGGTTTCCAGAGTCCTCTGATCGCTGCAAAGACACAGGTAGAAAATTAAGAAATGAAGCTGGCATATCAGGGGCGCTTCCCAGCCTCCCATTTGGCCAGGCTGCCTCCCTTATATCTCCCCAGCCCACAGCAGAACTCCAATTGTTTCATTCAGTACAAGGTTTCTAGGGACACAGATGGGTAGAAAACAGAAGTCCACAGCCTATGAGCTCTCTTTTTGCTGTCAGTCAGGCAGTGAAAATGGAGACTCACACCTCCTACGTCCCATCCTCGGCCACGCCGGAGCTGAGTGATCCAGGGCAGAATCAACTAAACCTTTGGGGCCTCCAGCTATATAAAGGGGAAATGATTTCTGCTCTCCCAGAGATGTGAAAAAGATAAAAGATTAACAAAGAGCTTTAAAGCCTTTGGAAGAAAGAGAATGAGGAAATATGTCTCTTCCCATAGCTATTAATTCTAGGCTGAGGGCTCCATCTCTTCTGGCCTTATGAGGGGTTCATTCCAGCCCCCAAAACTCAGGGTCATCCACAGGAGAGACACACCCTAAGGCTAGGGCACAGAACAGGGCCCTCATCTCATGCCAAAGACTGTAGTAGTGCCTCCCCACCTTAAAAAAAAAAACAGCACTACCATTCCCCAGTGTTCAAGCCAGTAACCTGGGAGCCCTTCTTAATACCTCCCTCATCAATCACCAAATAATGTTCATTCTATCTCCTAAAAGTTCTTGAATCCATTCACTTCTCTATATTTTCACTGATATCACCCTACTAGGTTTTCCTCATTTCTTGTCTGGACCAATGCAAAAAAGTTTCCTAATAGGTTCCCATAATCCACTCTCCACTCAGCAAGTGAAGTTTAAAAAGCAGAAATCTGGTAATCATGTCATTCCTTACCCCTCTCTCATGGATTCAATGGTCTTCAGTGATGACCTCAGAATAAGGTCCAGATTCCTACCTCACCTTGAACCTGCCTCAGTCCTACCCTCTGCCTACAATATGCTTCATGTCCTTTCCCCAAACCATCTCCCAAACCCTCTGCCTACTTAACTTTTCCTTTAGAGGTCAGCTTAAGCATCATTTCCTCAAGGAAAACCCCAGAGCTAGGTTAGCTCCCTGTTGTATGCCCTCATAGCACCCTATTCTTTTCTTTCACAGCACTTATCACAACTGAAATGATTTATGTTATTTATGAGATTAATATCTGTTTAGTGTCTATCTCCTCAAATATACATAAGCTCCATGAGGTCAGGGACCATTTTATCTTGTTCACTTGCCAGTGAATCTTCAGTGTCTAGCACACAGTAGGTGTTCCAATTTATAACAGTGAATGTATTAAAAAAAAAATGAATGAAAGGGGTCATTTGTACTGATCCCTGGAGAGAAGCTCATGAAGAATCCTATCAGAGGCAGAAGGTATTTCTCTCTCTCAAAGACAGATGCAGAGTTTGTTTCCTACATTCCAACCTCAGAGAGCCTGAGATGGGGAGCACCCATTTTAGACTCAAAGCTGGGCCACGAATAGGAAGGATGAAGGCTGCAGGAGCCAGAGGACCTAGAGAAGAATTAGCCCTGTATCGGAACCCAAACTCTTTTATCTCAAGTTCTCACACATGGTGCCTGGGGAGGAAGAGACTGGCTATCCTGAGGAGGGCCAAGGTGGGCCCCAGAGGCTGACAAGGGAACAGCTTATTTGGGCATCTTAATGCAGTATTTTTTTTTTTTTTTGTGAGGAAGATCAGCCCTGAGCTGACATCCATGCCAATCCTCCTCTTTTTTGCACCCGGGCCGCCAGCAGGGAAGCGCGTGTACTTAACCGCTACGCCACGGGGCCGGCCCTTAACGCAATATTAAAAACAGAAATAGTGCCCAAATTTCTGGCAATTACTAGGTGATTAATCTGGGCTGACGGGCCAGCCCGGTGGTGCAAGCGGTTAAGTGCGCGTACTCCGCTGTGGTGGCCGGGGTTCGCCGGTTCGGATCCCGGGTGCGCACTGACACACCACTTGTCAAGCCATGCTGTGGCGGCGTCCCATATAAAGTAGAGGAAGATCAGCACGGATGTTAGTCAAGGGCCAGTCTTCCTCAGCAAAAAAAGAGGAAGATTGGCAGATGTTAGCTCAGGGCTGATCTTCCTCACACACACACAAAAAAATCTGGGCTGATAGCCTGACTGTACCTCACTCTGCCTGGAAACCTCTCAAATGAGCTTTCTTCAGGAATCCCCATGACCTCCCCCAATCTCCCCTGGAAATAATGAGGCCTCCTTGAAGCAAAAAGCTCCTAGATCTAGGTGGGGGGAAGCACAGGGATGGCTTGTGACCTGTCTGAGAACTCCTACCTGCCCATTCCCTGGCTAAGATGTAGCCAAAGATAACCACCACAGCTTAGGCTAGGAATGAGAAGTACACCTCCCACTGAGAGGCTACAGCATTTGTAGTTAAGGAATGTCAAGAACCTAACCCCAGTACCATGTTATGAAATTCAAGTCCCGTCCAGATACAAGTCTCTCTCCTTTCAGAAAAGAGAGCTGCAGCTGGCAGAACACTGGATGAGAACACATTCTCAGCCTCAGAGTCAGAACAGGTTATGGAGTAGAAGACCTCCAGCCCCGGGGCTGGAAAAGTGATTCTAGATATCAGTGAACATATCTGGCCCCCATCACTCCCCAAAAAGGGTTTGATCTGTTGCTTGAATGCAGCCTCCCTGGGAGCCCACAGCAGCAATTGGGCCACAATAGGACTAGGGTACAGTGCTCACCATGGGCCTTTGCTCCTAAAGGGCCTACGAGGGCTAGGCTGGGGAACAAAAGAACACTAGTTTGGCAGTGCAGTGCATTTCCTCCCCCTCCCCCCAACAGCTGCTATCTCAGACAGCTGTATCCAGCCTGTCTGCTCAAGCCTATTAAATATTCATCAGATGCTTGCTAGCTTTAAACATGCAACGACTATTAATCTGGAGAGCAAGAGGTACATGAGGGTCTGGAGAGAGAGAGAGGGAGGGCTTAAAAGGATCCAATTCTTTTAACTTCAGGAATCTGGAAACCAAGCCAGGGGCACCCATTCTGTACGCCAAAGCCCCGAACTACTTTCAGTGTAAGCTGATCTCCTCTAGGTACAGAGGAGACACCAGGAGGCAGCTAAGTGGCAGTAGAAAGACTTGTGTCTAAACTTCAGTTCTTGGACCCTGTACACATCAGTTTCCCAGGATAATCATCGCTTCACAGGGTTGTTTGTGAGAATTAAATGGGATGCTGCATATGATACTCCCAGGACAGAGTTAGCACAAAATTAAGAGCTTAAAACGGAGGCAGAAATTTCATTCATTCAGGACTTAGAGTGGTGAAGCAAAGCCTTGTGTAACAATTCCTTAAGAGCAAAGTTTCTATCAGTGGAGACTCACAAGAGTTTTGGTCTCTAATTCACAGGGTGGGTGAAAGGGATAGGATAAGGGAAGACTCCCTTAACACATGGCAAAGGCTTAACACTCCACCCTCCAATAGTCCAAATATCTGAGAGGAGAGATGATTAATCTATCTGAAAAATCTAAGAACCAAAAGGCCTTCAGGCAACAGGGAAAGAAGAAGGAAGGCAAAGTGATGGGGGAATGTCTCTTCACTCTCCCACAAAGGAACGGGGGCCACTTTACGGAAGACTTTTCTCTTCTGCTTCCCTGTTTTCCCGCCTTGCCAGCACAATAGTGAACACAGGAGTGTTCAAGTCACTCTTGTGCTTAAGGCCTTAAATAGCTCCCTAAACTTTAGAAACAAGTCCAAATTCTTTGCCTAACATTTAGCTTTTCAAAATCAGCACTAGCCTACTCTTCTAGCCTCGATTTATAGCTAACATTTATTGGGTGCTTACTACATGTTATGCTGAATGTTTTACATGTTAGTTCACTCCATCTTCACAACAATGTTGTGAAGCAAATGATATTATCCCCTCACTTTACATATGATGAAACTGAGACTTAGAGAGGATAACTCACCTAAAGTTCCAAAGCTAGTAGCTTTGGAGAAGGCAGAACTTGAAATCAGTCTGTTTAAAGCCATAATAAAGTGCTATGCTACTCTATCTGTCTGCCTGGAAAATCCTTAGTTATCCTTTAAGATTCGACTTAAATGTCACCCTCCCTCTCTGATGTTTCCTAAGCCTTTCTCAGACAGCTCCTCCAAGCTCCCCGGTATTCAGTTCAGCAACAGAACACGATCACACACTACTGTAACTATTTAAGACTTATTCTCTCCCATTAGACTGAGTTTCTTGAAGGCAGAGATTATGAACTGATGTAGACCAATGACCCAGCACAGCCAGCATAATGCCCTAAGTGGCCTCAGCAAATGTTCACTGCATTAGTAATAATATTCCTGTAGAAGAAGCCTTCTTCCAGGATAGAGAATGACTGTACAGGCTCCCTGGGATGATTCTGGCTGACAGGTAAAACTCATTCTAAATTCCAGTATGACCTAGTAGTTGAGATTGATCACAGACTCTGAAATCAGACTGCTTGAGCTTGAATCCCAGCTCTGCTACTTACCAGCTGCGTGACCTTGATAAGTTATTTAATTTTTCTGGGACTCAGTTTCATCACTGTGTAAAAATGGGATAATAATAGCTACTTTACAGGTGAAGAAGATAGTGCATGGCACATAATAAAGAATAAATGTTAGAACTGACAAAACGTAATAGTAGCTAAAACACATTTTTTTCCAGATTTTAACATTTCTGAAATCAGGATGCATCTTACACTCCAGAAGAAAATAAACCACTGTGTTGGTTTAATTGGCATTGTTTTTTCTTTCTTTCCAGTACTTAATGATATGTCTTATAATAAATGGCCTCAGTGTCAATGAATTATGGTGGTGTTATCTTATAGAAGCAGCACGCTTTCAGCATAGAGAATGGACTCTGGTGTATAAAAACACTGATATGCACTCCCCCACAACTTGCTATGCAACTGTGGGAAATTACTTCACCTCTCCTAGTATCAGCTGCCTCATTTACAAAAATAAGAACACAAAGTAGGCA